TGCTTTCTGTGAATCAGAAAGAAGGGAGCAGTTTGGCTAGGTAGCTCTGGCTCAGGCTTTTTCTTGTGGTTGGATTGACATCTTGGCTGGGCCCATAGTCATGCCCCTTGACTCAGGGTGAGGATTCATTTTTGAAGTAATTCATTCACTTGTATAATAAGTTGATATTGACACCTCAGACCCTCCCATTCTCTCTATGCAGCCCTCTCTACAGGCCTGCTTGAATATTATACTCAGGTGGCATCTGACTTGCCTCCAGCAAAGCAAGTTACCTTTAATAACCAGGCCTCCAAAGTCACACATAATCATTTAACTGTATTTTACTGATCATACAGACAAACTCAAATCCAGTGTAGGAGACTAGGCCTAAATAAAGATGTGTATTCCAGGAGGCAAAGATTCATTAGGATCATCATGGAACCTAATTGCCATGCTGACAGAGGCCTCAGGATCAGAATATATGAAGAAATTACTGCATATTAGAAACAACATGATATCCCAGTTAAAAATGGCTAAAGCAGGTGTAGTGGTACACAGCTATAATCCTAGCTGTTTGGAAAGATGAGGCAGGAGGATCACAAGTTTGAGGCCAGCCTGGCCAGGTTAGCAAGACTATCTCAAAATTAAAAGGGCTGAGAATGTACCACAATGACAGAGCACTTGCCTAGTATGCTCAGACCTCCAGCACCACAGAGAGAGAGAGTTGAAAGTCTTGAACAGATACTTCCCAAAAATATACTGTCACGAATATACAAGTGTTCAACAGCTGTGGCCACCGGGGAAATGTATAATAAAACCCCCATCAAATGCCACTGTATACGCACTCAAGTGGCTACAGTTAAAGAAGTTGTCAGCACATGCTGGCCATGGTGAGGAACACCTGAGACTTTTGTTCACTGACAGTGCAAGTGAAAAATGTACAGCACTTCGTGGAAAGTCAACAGTCAAAAATTGTAAAGACTGGGCTGGGGATTTAGTTCAGAGGCACAAGCACCTGCCTGGCAAGCGCAAAGTCATAAATTCAATCCCCGGTACAAAACCAAAATTTGTAAAGATCCTAGATACTTATAAGGAAGGAACAAATTGTGATATTTGTTTGTTTGCATTATACTATACTTAAAGTACTATGAGATACAGTGCATTTATTTTTTTACGAGCAATATAAAATGCAACTTAATAAAATGAATTACAGATTATTACAGTATGAACAAATCTCTCAATAATTGCTAAGTCAAAGAAGCGAAACTCCAAAGTATATACTGATAATTCCATTTATATGAATTTCTGAACTAATCAATGGTGAGAAAACATAGACATAAAAATTATAAAAGGACATCAAGTAGAAATTCTGGAACAGTAAAGTACAGTAGCTAAGCTTAAAAAAAAAATTAGATTCCACCAGCAGATTTGAGTGAACAGTAGCAAATTTCAGTGAACTCAAATAGGTCAAATATGTCAGGTCAATTTACATTCTCTGGACTGGACCAGGAAGAAAAAAAGAATGGAAGAAAAATAAATGGAGTTTAAGAACAGTTGCACATTAAAAAGGTTACAGTGGAAAAGTTTACATGAATTTTACCCCAATTTTAAAAATCGCTAAAAAAGAGGGGGAGTGGAGGGAATAAACTGAGAATCTGGAAGTAAACCCGCGTATCAGTGATGACTTGGTTTTCAGCAGGCGTGCCAAGATCAATCAGTGATGAAAGTGTAGACTGTTCATCAATGGCATGGGGCCCAAATGAAATACATAAGCCAAAAAGAAAAACAGGTGAATTGGACTTCACAGTATTAAAAACCTAATCATAAGATGTCAAAAGAGAAGAGTACACAGAGAAGGAAAAAACATTTGCAAGTCATATATAGAATAAGATTCTAGTATGCAGACTCCATTAAGAGCTCTTACAAATCAACAACGAAACAATAACCACTTCAAAAATGGATCAAGGACTTGAGTTAGACATTTCAGATATCCAACAATCATGTGAAAAAGATGTTCAACATCACAAGGCACAGCAAAAATTCAAATCAAAACTACAATAAAATACCATCTCACACCCATGAGGATGGGTATAATTTTAATAAAAAACTTAGATGTTAGCAAGGATATGAGGAAATTGGAAACTTTTATGTTACTGGTAGGACTGTAACTAGTACAGCCACTGAGGAAAACAGTTCCTCAATAACTATGTGTTCCTCAATAACTAATACAGAGCTACCAGAGGGCAGAGAATTCCATTTTTAGGTACACTCTGAAAAGCATGGAAAACATGTAGTCAAAGACTTGTACATGAATGTGCATACCGTAGCAGCACTATGTGCAATAGCCAAAAAGTGAAGATAACCTACACGGCCTTCATCGTATGAAGTGGGCAGACAGGTTGGGTCTGTATGTATGATGGGGTAGTGTATGGCAATAGGAATAAAGCACTGACTCATGCTTCATGGGTGAAATCTGTAAAACATTAAATATTAGAAGCCAACACAAAACACCTACAATTGTTAGACTGTGCAAATGGTAAATTTTATGTGAATTATACTCTACCTACACATAATAAACTTCAAAAGGAGGAAAGAACCAGGATATTTCAAATTAATGGAGACTAAAGATACATGACAACTAAATGGAGTTTATTTTATTTATTTATTTATTTATTTGGTCTTTTCCTTTTCATCGGTACCGGGGATTGAACTCACTACTGCCTGCTTGCAAGGCAGGTGCTTATGCCGCTGAGCTAAATCCACAGCCCCTTGGAGTTTATTTTTAATATGTCCTGAGGAAAATAACTATAAAGGAAATTATTGGGACAGCTGGCTAAGTATGAAAATTGCATTAGATAATACCATGTGTATCAATATTATATTTCCTTGTTTAATTACATTTATATTGTGGTATGTAAGAGAATGTCTTTGTTCACAGGCATATTTAACTGTAAAATATCATGATGTCTCAAATGTACTTTTACAAAATGTGTCTCTAAAACAATAAAGCAAATGGGGTAATATGAAAGTGAACCTTAATAAAAGGTATGTGCTAGTTCTTCATAATAATCTTTCAACATTTCTGTGTCTGACATTATCCAAAAATTTTAAATTACCAACGAAGATTTGGCTTTGTTATCTTTTGAGCAGCCATATAGCCCAGGTAATTGTTAGAAAAATAATGCAATGTGTGACTTCAGCTTATCTGTCCCATTTTACTCTATCAGTAAATTTTTGTCTGTTTCTTAACTTACACATTCCAGAATATTATTTATTTTAATTGTATGCTGGAATCTTTCCATATTATCACATTATTCACACGGATTCTGTACACAATTATGTTATAGCTTTGGGCATCTAATCTCACTTTATTTTTTCCTATTCACATACTTTATTTTGCAGCATCTTGGACTATATGAAAACTTTTTTATTTTGGGAAATTTAAATATGTCTCGTTAAATGGCTCTGCTGTCCTAATTCTCCTTCAGTAGCTTTTTTGATATAAAAAATTTTAAATGTCTTGGTAAAAAAATTAAATATAGCTAGAGCTTTAACCTTACCTAGGATATTTTGGGTCATGTGTTCATTTTTGTTGTCAGATCAAAGAAATAACCTCTAAACGCTGTCATGCAGGACTATATCATCTGTTAGCCACAGATGAAGTCAGAGAACTCTTAGCATCTGCAGTCAAAACCTAGTACTGTTTTTTGTTAGCATGCACATGTGGCTTTTTGCCTGCCCATGGTTACTGTTTCTTATGAACAAGCAAATACCCAGTCGGAGCTATTTTGAATAAATTTATCGAGAAGATCATTGAGAACTGACTTCACGATGATTCACATGGTACTTGAGTTTTCAATCAGTTAACCAGTTTTCTTTCCTTTATGGTATATGATGGCATTCCACTAGACAGAGGTAACCCATTGGATGGTTGTGCACCTGGATGCTGGTGTGGTGATGTTTATTGGCGTAGTCTTCATGATACTCCTCCTGAAATAATGCCTGCAGTGATGCCTCTTACTGTGTGCTTGCATGGGATTATTACTTTGTGCTGTGTTGGTTTGAGTTTTTAAAATCTTTTTCTCTTTTTCGGGTACTTGGAATAATTCCTTAAGTATCTTTGGTTGGTCCAGAACTTATGGAAATGTGTTCCAAGTGTAACTCTTTGGTGGATCCTTTCCAGTTTTGGAAAATACGTTCAGTGTTACCACTAAGTTTATGCTTTAGTTGAAAAACAGGTCTCTTTGAGAAGAGACCACTTGTGTGACAAGCTATTTCTGAAGCTAAGATTTAATTCTCTTCATGGTTTATAGATTGAAGAAAAGAAATGTGTATTTAGAGTAAAAGCTAAATTTTGGGAGACAGTTTCATCAAATAGCTAAAATTTAGGAGGCTTTACTAAGGTTAACTGTAAATACGTTTGAACTAAATTGCGCACTTGTCTTGCCATACATGTTTGATTTGGCATTGTATTTCAGAGGTGATATTTACTTTACATACTATTCTGTATTCCCAAAACTAATATTCATGCAATCATAAAGTAAAAATTTAAATCAGTATCTCAGAAATTAGTTTTCTGAGCATTTGTATGGGCCTTGGAAATAGTTGCTTACCTCTTCATTTCTCATCACTGGCAGTATGGTTTTTCTTGAGCAGGTAGATCTAATTTCTTTTATCTTTTTCATTTGATTTATTTTCTGCATTATATACATTTATAGAATAAGGTAAATTATTTTTAAAACTAAGAAAGCTAGTTCAAAAGTGGGTCTGTATATGTTCAATGCCAGGGGACTATAAAATTAAAATTATCTAGGTGTTTAAGTGAAAAAGTCAACTTTTTGTTTTGGAATTTCTATGTTGAAAACTGTAAAGGATCCTTCAATTTTTTTGAATGGCCATCAGAAATGCTTAAGATAAACAATATGAAATTGTGAATTAAATGGTGATTATTGCTCATTATTTATATTCTAATTTAATTGTATCTTCTTTTTATCTTTTGGTGGAACCTATACTTTTAATAGAAAATTTCCCAGGAACGAGAAAAATTTGCTGATGAAGGCAGTATATTTTACACCCTTGGAGAATGTGGGCTCATATCCTTTTCAGACTACATTTTTCTTACAACAGTCCTTTCCAGTAAGTAGTTTTTTTTTCCTTTTATTTGTTTTTAGGAATTGTATGAGATTATGAAAAAGAGTTAAATTGATTGGAAAAGAGAATAGGTTTGGTGGAGTTAGTGAATTATACATTACATAAAATTTCATTTATTTTGAATTTTCTGTAATCTCATATAGTCACCTGAAAGAAACTCAAATATCAAGATAGTTATAAAAAGCCATAAAATTTCATCTACTTTTAATTAAAACTCTCAGTTTTGTCAAGATGAGACTACTCCAAAATAAATTTTGAGGGGCTGGAGATTTAGCTCAGCGGCATAAGCGCCTGCCTTGCAAGCAGGCAGTCGTGAGTTCGATCCCTGGTACCGATAAAAAGGGAAAAGACAAAAAAATAAATAAAAAATAAATAAATAAATAAATAAATAAATAAATTTTGATCTCTCATTTCTTACATTAAAGAAGAAAATAGTCTCAGTTGCCCTAATTGTACTTTTTGTGTGTGTGTGTGTGTGTGTGTGTGTGTGTGTGTGTTTGTGGTTGATTTTTTTGAAACAAAGTCTCACTGTGTAATGCAGGCTGGCCTTGAACTCACTGTTTCACGCTTGTCTCAAACCCACAGTGAGCCTCTTGCCTGAGCCTCGTAAGTGCTGGAATTACAGGTGTGAACCTCCATACCAGGCTTCTTAATTGTGTTGAATATTCATTTTTGGATCCTGGAGAAGTACTTCTAGAAACACAGAACTCAAAAGTTGACACATTCCCTAAAACATCAAAAGCTTTGATACCGAGTGGTTTAAGAATAGGAAATGTGCAGTAGCATGTTTATTCATCAGTAAACAGCAGGGCCTCAGAAAACCAGCCAGAACAGCTGACATAGGATGCCATATTTCAAATTAGCTCTTTTCATTTGAAGTCAGTGTACTCGGTGTTGTTCAAGAAATCACCACCATTTTGAGTAATATGAATATTGCCCTGGTGGCTTGAACTTGGAAGACCAGAATACCGGACAAATTCTCTATGATGTCTAAAGTTCCACAACTATAGCAAATCGTTCTTTTTTTTCCCCAGATTTATCTTTCCTAAAAATAAAATTAAGAAAGCTATCTTTTCCCACTATACTGACAGATGTTAAAAAAAAAAACAAGAAAGCTATCTTTCTAAAGAAATCATGGTATGTAGTACTGTTTCCCCAACTGAATAGAGTTAACTCTCTAAACTTTGTGAAAATTTCATTTTTTGGGGGCTGGGGATTTAGCTCAGTGGCATAAGCACCTGCCTTCCAGGCATGCAATTGTGAGTTCAATTCTTGGTACCAAAAAAATTTTGATTTTTCTAAATAGGAACAACCAATGTCCTAGGAACATTTTGTGCTTATAATAAGTGGCATGAATTTCTGATTCTTCTCTGTACATGAACTGGATAATGGGCCTTCCTATACATTTAAATGTCTTTTATTATGTTTCATACACACTATAACACATACACACCTCTTAAACTCTTTTCTTGCTTTATTTTTTTCTCCTTGGAACTTATAACCATTTCACATTCTATGTAATTTATTTATCATTTATTTGTCCATTTTTCAGCCTAGAATGGAAATTGCCAAATACTGAACATAATTTTGTAACAATAGTTATGACAAGTATATTTACTGTATATAGACAAGGAAACAGAACAAAAGTATAAAATACGTATTTTTTAAAAATCTCACCCAAAATAAAAAGATTTTGCAAACCTAAGGTTTGCCTTTGCTGGTGATATCCTAAATTGAGAGTAGACCTTGTAGCTGTTGATGTCTTTTTTGTGTTGCTGGCACTAATTAAGTGAGGAAAATGTGTTTTTAGTTAATGCACTTTGAAGTAAGTGTGGTTTCTTATAGTTCAGAATTCATCCATTTGTATTCTTCCTTAGTTCTAATTTATGATTTCTTTCATTTATAGCTAATTTCTCTCACTGGCTTTGAGCAATTAACTTAAAGAAGTTTGAGCGGGCGAATCTATGTTAAGCATAGAATATTAAATATTTATAAATAACTGTTCATTAATAAAATAAATTCAGATTCATTCTAGTCAGTATGAAGAGATGGTTATAATTTCCATAGAACCTGTTATCCTTAAAGTGGGAACAAACAAACATGGCTGTTAATGGCTTAATTCTCCACACTAGCCATCCACAATGTTAACTGATGGTCTTAAATCTAACAATAGAAGTCAGATTTTTTTCCCCCATTAGTAGGTATTTATTGCAGGTCTGCACCTGCAACCCCTCAAACAGTGGACCACAAGTAGACCTTGAAGGCTTAAATAAAAGACACAAGTAGTATGATTTTAGGGCTCCAGGAGGTTCAAAACGCTCTAGCAAATCTCTAGAGACTGATAAGGAACTTTTCTGGGCAACCTGTATTTATTTGGTTTTCAAACAAGGAGGGGATTAAAGTAGATAGCAGAAACTGAGCAGGAGCTTGGGAGTCAGTTCAAAAACTTCTCCAAGTAGTAAATTATGCTAATTGGGAGAATATCTTATCTCCAGGTTGACATTTGCAGGAATGAGATGCCTGCAGCTATAGTCTCTGTTTAGTGAATTGGGGTTGGAGCAAGGGCTCCTCAGCTGTGGCCTTATCTTGTCCTTTGAGGAGGCATCAGGGGCCACAACAAGCTTTAGCCAGGACCAGTGATTCTGAAGAGGTTCACTGTGAATCTGTGAATCTGCTGCCCATCTCCAGACAAGGGGCCTAAGCCTTGAACAGACTCACGAGTAAACATAGAAATCCAATTGGTTAATATTAAATCCTACTCAGAGCCGCTGGGTAGTGGTCTCCATCAAGTATTTAAAAAGGTTATCAAGATTTATCTGGAAGGCCAAGTGTTGTGGTGCATGCCCATCCTAACAAGGCTGAGGCAGGAGGATCCCCGCAATTTAAAGGCCAATCTCAGCTACAGAGCTGGAGACTTCAAAGCCAGTCTGAACTATCTTGTCTCAAAAAACAAAACAAAAACTTCTTTAAAATACTATTGTTAATTGGTTTGGACATTCATATGCTCCAATTCACAAAGCAGTGATGGTACAACTTAAAATCTGGATCTTATCCATTGACAGTTATGAAATATTATTTTCCTCATCTTCATATGTGTTCTAATTAAAATCACTAACTCTGTGAACCAGTAATATTAAAATAACTTCAGATGAGAGATGAGGAGGTAATAAACATTTGTTAAAAGTTGATTATTAAGTTTTTTCATTTTTATTTACTGTTCATCTTTTAAAAACCAGCAAAAGCAGAAAATGCTATGGCATGTTCAATACCCAGGGTTTTCAAGTTTGGTGGTAGACACAATGAAAATTGGGCTTTAGGAGAATCAGTGGAAAAATTGTTATTTTCACTGTAGTGGGATTTGATTTACTGGAAATTTAACCATTTCTTCATTGTGCTCCACCTTTCACAAAAATACAGACTCTTGAGAAATTACAGCAGTGTTCAGGAAAATATTCTTGCCTTACTAAAGTTAAGAACTAATTGCATAGTATATGTGACTTGGAAAGTGTGAGGCTGACCAGCTTTGCACTGTCTAATGGAAATGACCTTATGGATGAATGTTTTCAGGTTGAGTAATCTGTTGAAAAAGATGGGCAAGGCCTAATCACTGAGATCAATCAACAGATGGAAGGAAGTTTCAAATCTTTATTGAGACAGGAAAATTATAGAGAAATGTTGCTTTAGCTTATTGAGAATTACCTGCCATTGCTAAATTGAAATTATAAACAGTAAAGACAAAGGAAATGAAAGACTAATCTTTTTTTCAGGGCTATTGGAGCCTGTAAGAGGTGTTTATAATCTCAGTACCTATTTGCATGCTGTATTATTTATCAGTAGTCTCCTTCTTTTACATTAACTTGTTTCTGTGATTAATGTATTGATTTTATAATAATGCAACTGTACATCAATAAAATAATGTTTTAAATATATCAAGTATTTATAGATGATATTAAGTTCATTTTGAGGCAAAGATATTTGAGAACTACGCTGTGCCATTTCATTAGCACTAGCTGCTATAGAAAGTTGAAGCATTTGCATCTTTGTGTGAACCTCCATGCAAGCTGTTTAGATTAGCAAAAAATAAGAATTCTCTTTTTTCCAATATATAATTTTATTATACAGAATATTGGATCTCATTGTGGCATTTTTATAACATGCATGTCGCGTACTTTGACCATATCCATCCCCTTATGCTCTCTTCTTCTCCCCTGCAGCTTCACTCAGTCCTTTCCTCCTGTCTGATAGTCTCCCGTTTACTTCTGTGTCCTCCTACCATCTCCACTCCCATTTCCACCACCCTTGCCTCAGACTCTACATTCAGGGGGAAAAACACTATACCTGTTCTAACCCTAGTCTCTTACAGCTTTTCTAACTTCTGTATCATCTTCCCTCAGAGCCTACCTCTCCTGTTTTGTTGATGGTTGGGATAGCTCTGAAGGAATTCAGCCTTCAATGATTGATAATGCTTACCACATTCAAAATGGGCCTGTAATTCATGTGTCTTGCTGCCAGGTGGCTCTGAACCACCAATGGCACATGCATGATTATCCCATCATGCAGCAGGGGACAGTCCCCTCAGGTAGTCCAAGTGACTCGATTGGGCAGTCACACATGTACCAGCATGTCATTCAAGCCAGTGGGAACCTGTGAGAGACCTGTATTTATGGTCTGTAGGCCCCATCTTTTCATATTGCTTTATCTCTTATAAGCTGAATTTGAATCAAACATAGTGGCCCATATATATAACTGAACCTTTCCCTTAAGGCCTAAATTTTAGTTTTGGCACCGGGGATCAAACTCACAACCTCGCACTTGCCAGGCAGGTGCTTATGTCACTGAGCTAGACCCCCAGCAAGGCCTAAACTTAATAGTGCTTCATGTGATACTTTCGTGCTCCTGGAACAAGTTTTTTAACTACTTATTGGAAGGGTACGCAAAAAGAATTGAGGCAAGAAATCATAGTTGTCATGTAATTGTTTGCCTAA